GCTTTCTGGTCCATTTCTTCAAAAACTCGGGAAGAAAAATGTTTCGTAGTGAGTTGGCTTACAATTCGACGAGTATACAGCCACGGACTCATGGATAGCACAAATGTAAACCCATACTTTAATAAATTACACAAATCTCTTTTTTTGTAAATAGCCATAAATGGACTTCTCAATCATTTATTGCACATAACATAATGTGAAACCAATTAACAGAACATAAAAGTGATAGTTTAATAAATGCAAACATAAAAATAACAATTCAATTAACTGATAAAATGAAAAATATATGATATAAAAACAAACAAATAAGTTTTTTCTTGTAACATAGTATAGAGTCCAAGTGCCAGGAAAGTCATGAATTAAAATTAAGCCGAAATGAGCGCTGACGAGGTCAAAACTTTGGGCTTTTTATATCGTCCGCAATTTTTTTATACCGATTTAAGCTTGTCTCTCCGTCTGTCCGTTTGTCTTATGTCTGCCCCTTTCTGTTAAGTTCGAAATTTTCGAGGTATTTTGACGAAATTGGTGACACTGACGCGCACTATTCACAAAATTCCTGGGTTTGGGCCACTTTTCACCTACTCCCCTCATAACGAGAAAAACCGTGTAATTTTTAGAATTTCGGCATTCTCAGTTGGTGTGAAAATTTTGGATCGGATAGGTCAATTTTTTGAACCCCATGTTATATCCGATGGAAACGGATTTTTAAAATGGCATAAAAGGCTAATTTTTAATACTTCTTGATGAAAATTCATTTATAATAATAATTTGGCATAGAATGTAACTGTACCGAATTTGAAGTACGTAGCTCTATGATTTGGACTCCAACCCTCGTAAGGATTCTAATGCAAAAATAGTCTATGAATGCCGAAAAATTCTAAAGGAGAATTTGCATCACCTGAACGCACCATATATTAGGTTGGGGAAAAGAAATCCATTATTTTTTCGGTAGATGGCTGCACTGATAGATTGCTCGTAAAGTATCGATCAAACAATTTCATATTTAAGCTCGCTGGAAAGATGACATTTCGCAGTAAAAAAAATTCTTTCGCTGTTTTTTGTTTGGTGCATTCAGTTGTGAGTTACAGCGTGTTAAAAATGGAAGTGAACATTTTACAGTTTTTCTTTGACAAAGGCGAAAATGCAAGCCAGGCGGCTAAAATTGTGAATGGTGTTTATGGTTCCGATACTGTAACAGCCAATTATGTGCAATTTTGGTTTCGTAGATTCCGTTCAGGAATTTTTGATGTTAAAGATGCACCTCGAACAGGTAGGCCGGTCGTCGAAAATGTCGATAAAATCGGAGAAATGATCGAAGTTGACCGGCATGTTAGCAATCGTAACATCGCCCAGGAGCTAAAAATCGACCATAAAACAGTTTTAAACCATTTACACAAAGCTGGATTCAAAAAGAAGCTCGATGTTTGGGTGCCACACCAATTAACAGAAAAAAACGTGATGGATCGAATTTCCATCCGCGAAGCCTTGGCCAAACGGAATGAGATAGACCCATTTCTTAAACGGATGGTGACTGGAGATGAGAAATGGATCACTTACGATAACCCTGTGCGAAAACGATCGTGGTCAAACAGCGGTGAAGCACCTCAAACGGCCAGGAAGGTTTTGCTATGCATTTGGTGGGACTGAAAGGGGATTATTTATTATGAGTTGCTTCCATATAGCCAAACGGTAAATTCTGATCTCTACTGTCAACAACTGGACCGTTTGAAGATAGCGATTGACCAGTAATGGCCAGAATTGGCCAACAGGAGAGGTGTCGTGTTCCACCAGGACAACGCTAGACCACACACATCTACAGTGACTCGCCAGAAACTTCGGGAGCTTGGTTGGGAAGTTTTAATGCATCCGCCATACAGTCCGGACTTGGCACCAAGCGATCTTTTTCTTGCATTGCAAAATTTCTTTAATGATAAAAAATTGGAATCTAGGGAGGATTGTGAAAATCGACTACTAGAGTTTCTTGCAAATAGAGACCAGGACTTCTATGGGAGAGGCATTTTGAATGGTTACCTTTAAAATGGCAACAAATCATACAACAAAACGGTGCATATTTGACCCAAATCGGACAATCCGAAGCATGTTAAATAAAGTCCTGAAGCTCATATAAAAATAATGGATTTCTTTTTCCCCAAACTAATATATAGAGATTCTTACGCAAGCAAGCCATTCTATGGCGACAAAGGCGAACTTTTGGTTTGTTATGATGAAAGCAACTGGAAAATGATAAGTTCTTTGTCAAATAAATTGAGTTTATTCAATTTGGTCCACATTCTTTAACGGATTGGCTAATCTCCAATACATGGTGAAGTTACGCTTCTTCATAAAAATAATGAATGATTTTTGGTGTATTATTAAGAAAATGAATGACTGACTGCATCAAGCGAATTGGTGTGATTAGGTTAGGTAATGGTCGCCCTTGCGCGACTATAGGATTTATACTAGTTTTTTTTTTTACAACCGGTTAAAACGGGTAGCGTGTAGAACGGGAGAAAAGTACATTTAATGATGAATTTAATTACCTTAAGTATTTAAGATCATCAAGACTTGTTTTTTGTCAACATTGTAAGTCTATGGAACTCGCTACCACATAGTGTTAACGCTATTGTCAATGCGAATCGGTTTTTGAACAGCAACAGGATTTTCTATAATTCTGAATATGTCTAGTAATTAAGTAATTGATGTTTAATTTTTTTTCTATTCATACATTCATAAATTTTTTTTAATATTTGTTTGTGCCGAACGAGACTTCATAGCCGTATTAGTATTAAGCTTTTCTTTAATCATAATTAATCTCAATTAATAAGCGATTGATTTGTATTAATTAATTAATCATTAATTATTGATTAATAAACTTTAGCTTAATTATATAATTAAAGAGGTTTAATACTTTTTCTAAATACAGACAAATAAAAAACGCTATAGAGGGTCACGGTCCACCATCAAGAACTCTACACCGCCTCACAATTATTTATAAGTCAACTTTTCAAAATAAGGCATTATATGAGAAGTGGCCCGATCCGAACCGTCTTCAATAGTGATTGTTCTTGCGTCAAAGTATGTCAGTGCGTCAAATCTCCTCAAAATATCACAAAAATTACGGCCTACGGTTGGAATATAAGAAAATAAGATGGACAAACGGACAGACTAGCGTGGAAAATATAAGAAACTGATTCTGAATCGGCCGATATAGCAAAAAGTGGATAGATCTCATGTTGTTCTGGTTGCTGCATACATCCGCATAAAGTTTTGTTAAATGCTATAGCGGGACAGAAAGCCTTAGCCAACCGCAATACTTATATCAAACCTACGGCTCCATTACCGAAAATATTTCTCGCAAAATTTAAGTGAAATTCATGTTAACCTTCTGGAGAAACTGCTAAGTGAATTTACCTAAGTAGGCACGTGATCTTGGATGCGTGGAAGCACGTATCTAAGTAATGCTTAGCTTATTCGGCGCCTAAGAATGAAGAAATCTTTTCTGGTTACATTGAATATCCGCAGACGTATACCGATCGGTAAAGTATGGCGACATACATCTCTGGAAACAAGTAATGTGATGCGATGATAAAAAAAAACTGAAGAGCTGGACAAGGTGACATAATGTTCGAGCACGGTTCAAAAGTTCAAACGTACAACGAAAGTCGCTGGCGACTTAGGGAGAACATTCCAACAGTTTGTGATACTTACTGCCGGCATGGAGAGTAGAGCTCTCATTAGAAGAACGGAAAGTAAAAAGAGAATGTTTTTTACTACTTGGACGTCTTAAAAGGTACAACACAAGAGTGCACTTTGGATTCCATGTGCGTTTTGTCAGTGCAAAGCATTCGCAAGAAATGATTTGTGGTTTTCGTAAGGAACTGTAAAAGTTTCCGAATGGTCAGCACAAAGTCCTCGTCATCTTAGGTACGTGAGGAATCTCGTGAAAGTAAAACTTGGTCAGAAGGTATTACAAAAATTTGGTATCGAAGGGGATATGTCAGAAGCCAATCAAAACAATGCCTGTAAATCTCAAGTGCAGTAATATGAAGTTCAGATAATTTGAAAAGGATTAACGGAAAAGAAACAGAGAGAACATTTTTTCAGACATAAGTATTTTGTGCTATATTTGTGTCCGAAAAAATTTTTATACTTTTGCGTCTGTATTTAGTTTATACATATTTCTTGCGTCAATTAGTCAAAAATTCATAAATTTTCCCATAATCACACCCTACACCACTTGTGGTACAAGAAAATATTGAGTTAGTGTGGGTGTATGCAATACGCAGAAAGATTTAACAAAAGGCTCGCTTTTATTATATTCGCTTCAGAATCACTTTCTGCGTAGATCTAAGTTGGTCCGTCTCTCTGTCTGCTCATCTTGTGTTCTTGTGTCCAACCTATAGGCCGAAATTTTTGAGATATTTTGATCAAATTCGCTACATTGATATATTTTGGCCCAAAGGCGAACACTATTGAAATGCCTCAGATCGAAGCCATTTCTCATCCATTTCCCATAAAATATTTTATTTTGAAAAGTAATTATATGAATGAATGTATTCGACACAGTGTCTCGAAAACTGTAAAGCTCGGGCTGTAAATTGAACACAAGGAAAGAAGATGGGCAGATGGACGGATGGATGGAAGGATGGACAAGCTTTGATCATTTCAAAAAGCGACTGTTAATCTATCAGTTCAATAAAAGGTCCTCACCCAATGAACATATCCTTATGCCACAGGTAGAGTAAAGTGCATAAAAAATGGCGCTCCTCATGAAAGGTCCTTTGCAAATTCGCCATCGGAGTTGTCAATAAACTATCACCTGCATTACTAGCACCCGCAAAAACCCATTTGATAGTTGATAGAACGCGACCAAATATAAAAATTCTTCTTCGTGATTTTCGATCCATCCATGAAGGCAAACACACAGTTTCCAGTTTATTTAGATTAAGGAAAATTTTTATTTAATAAATTTTCTAACAAAGTATAATAACAATATTCCATCTAATAATCGTGAAGAGCTTGAAAACGGGCCAATTGCTTTTTGCTTAGATTATATGGATATTTAAGGCCAGTAGGTACAAAAATGTCGCCACGAATATGCCTGGAAAATAAAACTTACAAGTGTTTCGATATGTTGAGTTGAGTTGCAATGCTCACCTATAGCCTGATTCTTTATAACCGATTGTAAAATATTTGGGTAAATTCTGGGCAGGATTAACGGTTGCACACCAACGTGGCGGGTTTTGCAAAGCATAAAATGGATGATCGAAAGCATTGATATATATTTGTACGCATAAACCGTGACTGCTGTATAGTGATTGAGTTAAAGTCGCCAGTTGTGAATAACCGCATTGACCCAAACGTATATTCTGATGGCAATCATAAAATCGAGTACCCTTGCCTATGCTCGAGTAATAGCATTGAACATTGTCGGCAGCATCCTTATGATTATGATCAGTAAAAAAATCGAAACCCGGCCCAGCCATATCACAAACTTTTTTTTTTTAATAATAAAGTAAATAATAAAAGTTAAGAAGGGCTTGCGTGCGAGGAAATGTAAAAAAATAGGAAATTTTAGAACCTACTGTCAATTTTTTTAAATTTATATTTCGGTGGCAGGCGACGTCCTATGGTTGAAACAATATGGCCGCCATAACTGAAGCCGAAGAGAAAACTTTGTCGTGGATTGAGACCCTTATGAATCAAAGATAAAATCTCTTTATAGAGAACTTCGGTTATGATATCGAAATTACGCCATAATTTTAAATAAGTCTCTTCGGCCCAATAACCGTAATCTATGCATATAATACAACCACCTCTATGGTATGTAAGACCTATGCTAATATATAAAGACCATTAGCAAAAAAAAAAATAAATAAATAAATAAAATGAAGAAAAAAACAATGATAACTTTTGCTAAATATAACTAACTCACGCTCTCTCAACTTAATGACCCAGTTAGTGTTACAACTTTCCATCCAGCCATGAAAAATCATTGAGATCTTTTCATTTGAGCATTTCGTTATATCCACAGATTTATGTTCCTCCGCACTAGAGCTTTTAAATAGCATTTTGCCATTTCTAGACATAAACAACAAGAACAAGAAGAAAAAATATTTTTATTTATTTATTTATTTTTTTTTTAATTTACATATATATATATATATATATATATATATCTACTGCGTTAATGTGTTTGTGTGTTTGTGTATGTATATATATATATATATATATATACACGGAGACGTATATAATTGCTTTTAGGTGTAGTGTCTTTTTTTTTTTTTTTTTTTTTTTTTTTTTTTTTTTTTTTTTTTTTTTGGTTATTTTCTTTATACCCACTTGTAGTAAATGAATTGTATGGTGTTTTCTATACTGCGCTTGTTCGGATTTTCCCATTTTATAAGCGGCAACTTTTTTATACTTTTCGAAAATTGCATAAACTTTGCCGAAGAGAGTACGTCTAATGTTAATTTGCTATTGCTTGTGCTGCTTATGCTTGTGCGGTTACTATTCAAGCCAGTATCGGTAACGTTACCAAATTTCAACTCACACACGATAGGCTCGATATAAGAAGAACCGCATAGCAGCAATGGAAAACCATAGAAAATGTACTTTAAAAATAAATGTGTATTACGGCGTTGATTCCCCATAATTGATCTCTGCATAGTTGTTGGTTTATTTGTTTAACTTACGATTAACATACGATTGCTACGCTTAATGCTTAACTATTTAGAAAAGTATTTCAAAATCAACTGATAAATTTTGAAAGAAAAACATCGCTTGAAAACAATCAAATAAAGTGAAAGGAGTGAAAGTACGGTATCATGTTATGGTAATCTTTCAAAAGACAAAAGTGAGAAAATTCGAATCACTTTCGATCGCCCAAACATGCATATCGATTCGTTTAACTCGCAAACTTTTTAAAACTAAATTAATTAGGGAGAGAGAGAAAGAGAGAGAGAGAGAGAGAGAGAGAAAGAGAAAGAGGCCTGAATATTGAATTATCTAATTTTTTGAAAATTAATATTTACACATTTAAAAGGGAAAGCAAATAATGTGGAAAGAGGGAAAGCAAAGAGATGTGGTCATCGCCATCGATCAAATATTCGAAATATATCCATCAACTCAAAGCAATGTTTACCAATTTTAAAATGGTTTATTATTGGGGGGCGACAGCCTTCGACACTTGGTCGCCAATGTATCAAATGACAATATTCTGTCGTCGACTAGACGACCGACATGCACATGCATGATACAGACCGACGGAGGCGCATGCCTACTATAAGCCTTATGATGATCATATGTGCTCTTCTTATGACTATACATAAAATCGGGGACCATGTAGTACTTTTGTCTAAAATCAACAAAAAATAGTTCATTTTGTATCATCAAGTTAACTTCAGCAGAAACCGGAGATTTCATTTAGTTAGAGGCAGTTGCGAGCAAACGTGGTTTGCGATTGCGTACACTTGACCAGAGACAGCGCAATTTGCCGCATATTGTTGTCCTTATTGGAAGGACACCTATCTTATTCGTTCATATAGCTATTGTTTGCACCATTTCTCCTGGCGTGACGACTGCAACCCTACGCTTATCACCAAACAGCAGCCACAATAACTTATCTACACTCCCGAGAATATTACTGTTTACTGTTTATTGCAGGGGGATCGCACCTTGTTAATATCGGCCATGAATTGCCTTGGTTAGCGTGGGCATAATTGTGGCTAGAACAGTCCAACTTATTTAAAAGACGAGTTACGAGGGTCGACAAGTGTGTTTTGTAACCGCAGCAAGGACGAACGGAGGAAGACGAATATGATTAAATCGATTTCAAACCTTTTTTAAACGAAAAGCTATGTACGAAAAGAGGAACGTAGTCTTCTCTCATGCACAAAGAAATCTTTAGTTCCATTATTGTAATAGAAAAAAAAAACGAATTTTTTTCTTATACCCTAAAGCGCATGTGATGCGGATTGTGTTAAGTCTACGCGGATTGTTTTCTTGGTCAGGAAGCTCAGAAAGAACTCTAGTTAGAGGAAACAAGAACAGTGAAGTGGTGTTAGTATATTTGCGATTTGAAAGCAGAATCGTCAAGAGCGACAATTAGTTTCACAAGCGGGCAGTATCGTGAAAGAACGAGAAATCGTAGTACTTAGACGATTTACGCTACGCCCGCGAACGAGGATGAGTGCTAAGTAAAATAATTTTTCATTTCTGTTTACATTATCTTTCTCACTAAGCTAGGTTTGCAGAAGTCGCTGACAAAAAAGTAATATCATCTGCTGATGTTTGCGAGGGACCTCGCTCTCTGGTATCAGAAAATCATGTAAACTATTTGTAAATATCGCGACTCTATTCTCATTTAGTTAGAGTATTACGACCTCCGTGGATCTATTTTGGAACTCGGCAAGCTTGACGCAAAGCTTAATCTAGTTTGAGGCAAAAAAGTATTAAAAAGTTATCATACGGATAAGAGAGTATTTTACGGAAAGCAACCGCCTTTGTGACTAGACTTGCAATTACCTCGGATTCCAAATCCAATGATTTTTTTGCCATATACCATACCTTCTTGATAGATAGTTCAAATGTACCGAGCCAACTGACAATTAAATCTATATATATGCTAAGTACTTGTTAAGTCCTACACGACTTGGGGTCCAACAGTATATTAAGTTGGTGCGGATGAAGAACATGATATAAACCCTTAGACCTTTATTGTTATGTATGTAGAAAATGGATCAAGAAAATGATTCTGAATCGATTCAAGCTTGCCTGTCCATACTGCTTTCTAGTATTCAATAGGCGGTGATTTTTGAAATATTTTGATGAAATTTTGTTATACCGATAGGTTTTGGGCTAACGGCGAACGCGTTCGGATCGGACTATCTTTTTCAAGCACTTCCCATATACATCTTTATTTTGAGGAGTCGTTATGTAATATACTGTAACGTTGGTGTTATTGTGTGCTATTTAATAGTGGGCCTAGTCTCGCTTCTTTTATTCACTTTTACATTTCTTTTATTAGATTTAATAATAATTTGACAATAAATAAATAGATTTAAGAATTTATTTAGTTCTTAACTTTAGTGCTTAGAATTAAATCTTTTTGTAGTTAAGCCGAACTATTATTTCAAAGCTGACGATGAGACAAATAAACAACATTGTCATTGAACAATTTTCCATTATAAGTAAGTGTGTTAGTGTCTCTTAATATTTTACGCGCATATAAGCGCACAAAGTAAGTTTGTCGTTAAGCTTCATAAAGTAAAGGCAACAACAGTTTCGTTTCGTTTCGTTTCGTTATGCTAAAGTGAAGGTGGTAAAAACGAAAATTGAAAAAAAAAAAAAAAAAAAAAAAAACAAACTTGTTTTCTTTTATTGATGTTGTTATTGTTGCATATATTTCATCAAATCAGAAAAGAGAAAAACATTATAATAATAAAAAAAAAAAAAAAAAAAAAAACAAGAGCTTAACTGATATTCGGAAATAACACATATCTGAATATGGCAAAGGCCATAAAATCAACAAAATGCACATTTCACAGAAATTTCAATTTTATACAAACAAACTGACGCAGAAATTAATATCTATGTAGCCAGCTATGGATAGCGGATAGGTGTATGTGTGCATGACTGTGTTGGAGAATGTGAAGGTTTTTTTTTGCTTTTTTTTTTTTTTTTGTTAATTTTTTTTTTCGCTCATTTACTTGGTTTGGAGTCAGTCGTTTAAATGCCACACTGTTGATTTCTATTAGAAATGCGGTTAGTGTTATTGCTGTGGCTGTTATTGTTGTTGTATATTATGTTGCTGTTGTTGCTGTTGTTGATATATATCTTTTTTATGTGTGTGAAGAGAGAGTCTTTTTTTTCTCAAGAATAACTGTTATAACCAGCATAGCATTCACACACAAAATCCTCTGTTTTTCTTTACTATGTATGCATTAATGTATACTTACCACGGTTATGAATCTCTCTGCCACTGCTGTCGCTCTGATTGTTGGTTGGTTGTTGCGAGTTTATTACCTAATCACATTAAAAGGCAAAAGCTTTTCTTGGTATTATTAAGAAAAAAAAAAACCTTGAGAAAAAATTGACTCTTTTTTTTTTTTTGCTTTAAAAAAAAAAAATAAATAATTTTTTTTTCTTCATGCCCATCTCTTGGCTAAGAAAATGTATTAAATTTATTAGGTCATTTGTGACCGTTCCATGTGAAAGTTTTAAACAACTGATATATTTTTATATATCTTAATTAGATCGAAACTTGAGTAAGTTATCATATATTTACGCCCATAACCAGTGATTCTCAAAAAATTGAGAGCTCTAGACGAACTCTACTAGGACTGGAGAAAATCTTAAAATTGCTACGAAGCTACGACACCTCTCGCTTAATTAAATAGCATACCCATGCATAGGTAAATTATAATCTAAAAAGTAATGAGCCTTTTTAGGAAATCAAGCTTATCAAGGGTATTTACTATCCTCTAATATATAACACTACTACTATTATCGAGACGTATATTTTTTACTTTTCATTATTTAATAAATCCAGAATGTAAATATTAAGTATTTTCCGTACTGTACGTAGTGGATATCGAAATCAGTCTAAAGTGATTGCAGTTTTATAAATTGTTTACCTTCTCTTACTTACGTTTGCGTTGGGTCAGTCGCTTTTTTTATATGTTTTTTTTTTTTTTTTCTTTTTAAATGGATAGACGGATGAACAGTTACTTTTGTTCATAGTGGCCAAGTATATAAATATATGCATTAACTATATCGTATTTATTAGCTCGCACTAAAACTTCATTCGTTAGTATTTGAAGTCTTTATACTGTTCTTTATTAAATAAATGTATGTATGTATGTATGTATGTATGTATGCACATATGTTAGTAGGTACGTATGTATTTATGTATGTATGTATTTCAACATATATAAGAATAAAACCTTTACTAATTTTGTCGTGCCGCTGGTAGCATTA